CATTTAAATTCAAATAGATATTTTAAATTAACATAAATATTTTGTTATAGGGGGTAAAAGAGATGAGACATTGATTTTGCCAGCAAATGATTCTATTAGTGCTAGTTTAGATACTGACCAGGTAAAGATGTAATTATATTTAATAATATGAAGTACAAATGACATATTTTACTTTTAATTGTTTTAAATTTTAGCTATGTGCAAAGACTACTGTAATGGCTAGTCCAAATTTCAAGGAAGACCAAATATGGCTAAATGGACAGTAAGTATTAAAAATTTATTTTTCATAATTTAGGTATATTTCAAAGAGATGTTATAATTTTTTAGGAAGGAAGATATCAGGAATCCTAGATTACAGAATTGTTTAGCAGAATGTATGTAATTATGTGGGAATATATCAAAATTTTGGATTACTATAAATAACAAAGTATGTTGTTTCTAGTTAGGAAAAGGGCAGGAAATGTTACTCAAATAGGTCAATGGAAAGTTCATATTTGTTCAGAAAATAATTTTCCAACTGCAGCTGGGCTAGCTTCTAGTGCAGCAGGTTATGCCTGTCTTATAGCAAGTCTAGCTAATTTGTATGAGATAAAGGTACTACAAAAAAATGTACAATTATAGACTGTATAATTTATAAAATTTATTCATTCTCTGTATATTTAAGTCTTGATTTTTAGGGTGATATTAGTTCAATAGCCCGAGTCGGCTCTGGATCAGCATGTCGCAGTGTTCTGGGAGGTTTTGTAAAATGGTCTATGGGTTCCCTATCAGATGGAACTGATAGTATAGCAAAGCAAATTGCACCTCCTACCCATTGGCCAGAAATGAGAGTTTTAATATTAGTTGTATGTATTACGTTTAACTATTATTTTACATTAACATTTTTTCTTAAATATGTTCATGGCTTCATATTCTTCAATAGGTAAATGATGCAAAGAAAAAATTTCCTAGTTCAGTTGGAATGAAAAGAACTATGGAAACATCTGATCTTCTAAAACATAGGATAAAACATGTTGTTCCTGAAAGAGTGAATAAAATGGAACGGGCAATTATGGAAAAAGATTTTAAAACATTTGCTGAACATACAATGAAAGATTCTAATCAAATGCATGCTGTATGCTTAGATTCATATCCACCATTTACTTATATGAATGAGATCTCACATGTACTTGTTGATCTTGTTCATTTGTACAATGAAGCTGTCAATGATACAAAGGTAACAATAGAAAACATATTTTTTATATTTTAATAAAATATTTTACCCATTCTAGGTTGCATATACCTTTGATGCAGGGCCAAATGCAACTCTGTACCTTTTGGAAGAAAATACACCAGAATTTATGGGAGTACTAGATTATTTCTTTCCACCATTAGAAGATACTTTAGTAGAATACAAAAAAGGATTACCCATTGAAGCAGCTAAACCTTCAAAAGTAAATTTTTGCATCTTCATGTAGCATATATTAAGATACATATTTAATAAAATTACCTTAAACTTATTTTAGAGCCTGTTAAATAAGATTAATGCAAAACAACAAAGTCCAGGACGTTTTAAATATATTATTTATACTCAAATTGGAGATGGTCCTAAGGTTTTAGAAGATTCCAAAAATCACCTTCTAAATAAAGAAGGATTGCCTATCAAGCAGACCTAAGTTTATTTATTATTAAAAATGGTTGTAATTTATTTATAAAACAATCGATGGTACTATTTGTTATATAACAGAAAATAAATTTTAGGTTTTATTTTATATATGTACTTTTTTTTGTTCATCATTTAATTATCTTATATTTTATAGTAAGACAATTCTTGATAGTAGGTAATAATGTAATTTTTTAAAAGCCTATAATTGTTTGTGAGAGATTTGAGAACTATTACCTATTATATATTTTGCTAATTCATTACAGTAGTAGCAAAATCTTCCTAGCGCGTTGTATCTTCGCATATAGGTTACGTCAAGCATGAATTGTAAAATTTCGATAACATATAATTATTAAGAATCTTATCAATAGAATAGTATAATTAAAGTGTATAATTTTCATAAAAATAATATAATTTTAAGTAACGTATTAAGTGAAGTAACGTAAAACATATAAGCAAAACTATGGATAAAACAAAACTTATCGCAACGGTTTTGGATAAAATCATTAAAACGCCTAATTTTGGCCAGTGTTTACAAAAAGTAAAGTTTTATCACGTTGCCTCATATTTCTTTTAAGTATATTTCACTTTAAATCGTGTTGATATGTCATAAACGTTATTAATTGTGATACTGTTTTCGAACGAAGTTCAAGTAAATATGACAATAATATTTTTATTACTTTTCTGAGGAGCACTTAAATTTAGGTGGCACTATGCATGGTGGATTTACATCTACTCTTATTGATTGTGTCTCTACATATGCTGTAATGACTCATGGAAATAATGCAGCAGGAGTTTCAGTAGATTTAAACGTTACGTAATTATAATTTTTTATATACTTTTTTATGTATACCTATATTTAATTACAATATATATAGTGACAATTAATGTACAGGTTTATGAAACCTGCCCTTCCTGGTGATGTGGTGACAATTGATGCTAAAACTGTACGTGCTGGAAAAACACTAGCTTTCCTTGCAGTAGATGTTACAAAAAATGAGGGGAAAGATATAATTGCTCATGGGCGACACACAAAATTTATTGGACTATCAAAGTAGTGCATATATTGTTATATATTGCTAAAACTTAATGTATAGAATATTTTAGACAGTACAGTATGTAATATGTTATAAAACCTGAATATATTTCAGTACTTTATTAATGCATATGTAATGTGTATATAATTGTTTAAGTGAATACAGTTTCTTTGTTGGACACTGTATCATGATATCCTTCAAATACCTTTGCTTAGTATACATTTCCAAAGGTTTGGCTATTTCTAAAAAATGTTAACAAACATTACCTACAGTGCTCCTACAAACTTTGTAGGAGCCAACATGTACATAATATAAAATGAACACATGGCACAGGATCATAAGAATGTAATTGTTCAACATAGCATTGATCAATATCAAAACTGTACATATTAAGTAATAGGTGTATTTGTGGTTCTTTTTTGTTTAAAGTTTATGCTAGGCACAGAAGTTTTCAGCAAATTATTTTTTTATATTTCTAACACCTACTGAATATTGTATATCAATTTATGTAGTACGTTCATGAAAGGGAAAAGAGGTAAAGTGATATGTAAATCCTTGCATTGCTAACTAAGGAGAATGTTATTGCATAAAAAAAGGTTAAAACATTGTTAGAGGTAAAACATGACACTTTTTGGTTTACCATCTCTGAAACATCAAATTCAAGTCGTTCACTATAGAATCGCCACCTAGTAAAATCGGTTATATAAATAATTTTACCTAAATCAATGCTGAAACGTACACCTACACTGCGCTACTAAAGCAATGCGCAATTCTTTGTAGCCCAAGGATGTTCACAGTAAAAAATAGCAATAAAGAAAGTAAGCTCTATTATTGTTTCTATAAATATCGTTAAGCTCTTTTTAGTACCATTAACGTATCAAATATGAGACTAGAGGTAATAACATGACGAGTTGACTGGAAAATAACAAAGAGTTAATCTCCAAAACACGATCGGGCAGCTTCTACGATTCGTGTATGTACAATATAATAAACGTGCAGTATTAATGAACTTTTAAGATAAAGCGAATTTAAGTATTGGTCAAATGATTCGACTTCTTCAAGTCATCTAACAATGACCACAATTCATCTATTCTATGAGACAAAGACTCTGACAGTTTCCTAGCCTCTCTAATCTCTTGCTCGACCTCCTGAAAAGTCCGCCCCAAATCCTTTACCCTGTCGGTTTTACCCTGTGTACTTACATCTCTCATAGACGTGCTACGTCTAAACCGTGATATCGTATTGCTATGATCTTCACATCCGTCGCAGCAATCAGACCAAACTGATAGATCTACATAAGGAATTTCATGGCAGGTGACATATTTATTGTCATCTTCAGGTAATACGAACACATTCGGTTGAATTTTATTAATATTGTCGCCATTGTCGCATAAAACTCTAGCTAAGCTCGTTTGCTTTATCTGTGTGAGTTGTTCTGGTTTGAAGACAGTTGGACTTTCGTACCAGAATCTGTCGCCATCTCTGGTACGTTTGAACTGTTCCAACAGAAGACACTTAAACAATGGTCCTACTTTGGCACCAGGGATTTGGTCCTCTAATACTCCACCAACCCAGACATCTATGTTCCCAGGATGACCATATAGTTCTCTCAACTTTTGTCTAACTTTAGCGTTACGAATTTCTCCAGCCAAGTCCTCAAAGGTCTCAACGTGAGACATGTTACAGAATCTTCGATACTCTAGGTAGCCTGGCAGAGCATGATCTCTACCACGTTGAATGTTCATCGCGGCCAAGTCCAAGGCCACCGCATGAGCAGTATGAAATAGTTGTTCCGTCAATTCTGTGTTCAGGTTTTGTTCCGGTAATTTCAACTTAGCCGCGGTGGCGAACATCCCTCTCATCAAAGGATCCACGCCACCCTCCTCGACTAATCTCCACGGTGCAAAGAAGGCGTCCCTCAGCTTAAGTGGACCCTGAGGGATAGTTTGAAAGGACTCGTTGAGACGTTCCAATCGCGGTTGAATCAACGTATGACCGAATCTCAGAGCCGCGGTAGCGAAAACGTTAGAGACACTGGCGTCTATATTTGGATCGTAGCCTTTATAGATCCCTAACAGTTCTTCTGCAGTACCATCAAAGACATGAGGCATCCAATGTTGATAGGTGATATGCTGCATCTCGGCTCCAACGATCCTCCTAGCCTGTTGATACAGTTTCTCTCCGTTCCAATGAGGATTTATATCACGCAGAGAACGAGCTATGCGGTTATGTTCTCGTAGCCATATCGCGTGCATCGCCAAGAGACTCACCTGCTCATTGGCTCTAATATCTCCAGCTACGAAACAATTTATAGAACTCTCTAAGGGGTTTCTTCTACAGTCAACAAACTGACCAGTTGCGTAAGGAAGAAGAGGCTTGTGACCAGGAATCGTTGGTCCTTCTCTCAATAAACCATGATCTGTAGAGAAGTCACGCAGGTCTCTGGCCAGGTCGTCATCATAACCATACACCTGAGAAGCATCCATATAGCTAGTTAGTTGATTTAATTGTTCTCGGGGAGTGAAACTGCCCCATAATAGACTGGTTGCGCCAGAACCGCAAACAGCGCTGGTCCTGATGAAATCTATGCATCTTCTGTTGTCCACCCTGGGATCACCTGGAGGAACCTCCATGGGAAAACAGGGTGCAGCGTTATCGCAGGATTTCTTGCAGTCTATCCCACCCCAGGATTCGCTGGAAACCGCTGGAAGAGAATGATCCATGTCGTGGTCTAAGAATTGGCCCCATTGCATCACCATGTGGGTGATTCTGTCGTCTGAGGTTATATTATGCGTAGATATTAGGGTTGTGGAAATTAATCGAGCTGCAGGCTTTGGATAGCCATAGTAACGACGCCCTTTTTCCCAGCCCACCGGAGTGGAGAATCCGTTCTCATAGATGGGTTGAAGAACGCGGCGGAAACCAGTGTAGGATGAACCCCAGGTGGGATGGCGCAAGTTGTTGCAGTTGCCATCGATGCTACGGTACTTGTTGTGGAAACACATATTTGTACAATTCTGGCGACGTCTGTGACCGGTGCATCCGGATAGTCTTTCAATTTCTCTGACCTAAAAAGTGCCAAAGTGTTAACACTTTTTTTTAAACACTCTGTGTTCTGAAGTACATTTGAAAAAAAAAAAATTCCTCTAATATATCACTTGGAGTGCATAGAATTATCGACTGAGTTCTATTAAATTTTTTATAATCAAATCGTATTAAAAAAATTTTGGTTTCTTTGAAACATGTTTCGTTCATTTTATCTTGCAAAATATTTCACTCAATTTTCTTCAATCGTAAACGAGAAATTTATTGGAAAATTCACCTGTTCTGCAGTCAAAATTTCCTCATACCGGAATTCAGTGGTGGTATTCGCGTTCAGGCCAGAATTTACCATTCGTCGTATATTGAACAATGTCCTTTCAAAAATTTCTGCTGGTCTGGCTGCTGCTCTGCCAACAGCATCTGGAAAACGCGCGAGCCTGAATGGACTGACCCGTGAGGATCTGTCGCCGCTGAAGAGGCTCCTCAGCGTGTTATTTATGGCGCGATCGATCTCATCCGTTGCTTCTTTGAAGGCTCTTATCACCAGAACATCTGTTGCTCCCGGTTGGCGGACCCGCAACAACGCCTGTGCTGTCGTGCGGCCATATTGGTTCACGGCCGAGCACTCGTACCTGCGTACACGATTCTTGATTTATTACAGCGAAAACAAATACGCCTTACGGTATTGAGAACGCGATAAGCTAATGTGTTAGTATGTTCTCACTCACTCGGTGTTGTAAATGTTCTAGTCAGTGTTACACTACATTGTATTAAATTACACTGTAGCTATTGTGATCTATGCATACACACTGTTTCTGGTTCATTGAAACCTATCATTACACTGATTAAAATGGTATATGTAGTTATATTGATCAATAGGGTGATCCACTTATAATGAACATGTAAATTGTTTCCAATGCTATTGAAAGTAGAAAAAAAAAAGACTAAGTGGAGTTTATACGATTACAACACATGCATCTGGTGATGATAAAAAAAAATCCACTCAAAGCCATCTTAAAGGTCATTCCAAGGTTATCGACATAAACTGATTTATTATTTCTCTCTTGTATCATTATTCTTACATTGTTCTCATTTAAACACATTCTTTTTCTTTTCAAAGTCACTACAAGGTCATGATACCAAATGTTGAAATCGTCTTCGTATTGGCTACAACGTCGCATTATAAAATAATAGAAGCTAACATGCAAAAAAATATCGATAACCTTGGAGCTTTCTTTATCATCACCAGATGCATGTCTTCAAAGTATATAAAATCTTCTTACAATTGTTAGTAATTTTTTTGCTTTACTTTCAATAGCAGTGGATGTAATTTAGATGTTTATTATAACTGAAACATCCTGTATCTTAATTTATATTAATAATATTGAATAGCCTACTAAATGGAAACTCCTAAGAAAATATTTATCATCGTTCATTCTTTTTTACCAAGATACACCTCAATACACCTCGCTGCCCGTAAGAAATAAATAACAACGGTATAAATGGTATCTAAATTCACCTGCCGGTGTCAGTGGCGGTAACATTATAAAGGTACAAGCTTCCCCCGCGAGATATGCGAACCCTTTCCCCTTCCACGGCTGTACCATCTTTCTTCCACTGTATCAACGGTTTCGGAACGCCTTCCACCCTGCAGGGCACCTCGATAATGGCCCCTGGTTCCGCCTCCATATCATGAGGACCATACGTCAGCCTCGGTGGGCTATAAGACTCGTCCACCACCTTCAAATCCGCGCTGGTTTCGGCGTATCCATTAGAGTTTTTCGCCTGACAAACGTATCGCCCGGAGTCTGACTCCTTTACCGCTAGAATCTTCAATATACTGCCTCTATCCTCGATGAATATTCGACCGCCCACGTTTAACAATTGATCATTCCTCCACCATTCAATCCTCGGTGACGGTGTACTCTCCACTCTACATTCAAACGAGACGTTCCCGCCAATTTCTACAGTTTGCGATTCTGGTAACTGGGTGAATCGCAAAGACGGTGATACCGTGATCACGGCTCTGGCCTTTCTTGATTTCGCTGAGCCCATGTCGCTCCTGGCCACGCATTCATATTCACCGGTGTCTTGTTCGGTTACGTCAGATATCACTAATGTTCCATCTTCTTGGATCGTGCAACGATTCCCATCAGGCGACACTTCGTTCGAATCTCTCATCCATTTGATTTCTGGAGTTGGATCGCCTATCACCTCGCAGGCGAAGTTGATTGTACCGCCTAGTCTAACTTCCACGTCTTGAGGACCGTTCATTATGCGTGGCTTGGCTGAAAAGTGCGAACGGTATCCGTGAATATTCGAACAATAATTCGTGATTACAATTTGTAAAATTATTTTTCAGACGGTTATAAAAGTTCTGTTTTCTATTTTATTATATGTTTTATTAGTTAGTCGAAGGATATTTAGAAAGCGTGTCTGCTTGTTTCTTTCGTTAACGAACGGGGCATGTCGAGGAAAAAATGAAAGAGCAACTCGAAGCCGACTCACGTGTAGTCGGTATATTTACAAGAGGATCTAATATCGTTCTGTCAATTTGTTTTCGTGAAACGGGTCGAGCTTCTAGTAACAAGTAGGTCTATTTGTAGTTGCACTGATAAAACGACGAGACAATTACAGGTCTCCGACCATAGTCTAGTTCGAGGCTGATATAAGGCAAACATTTTGGCATAATAGACTAGAATATACTGTTATCGAAGTACACGATGTTCTTTTATATTATACTTGTGTAGGTATATTGTACAGGATGTCTCATTTATGGTGAACATTTAAGTGATTTCTGCTAGCACTGAAAGTAAGAAAAAATGACCGACAAGTGTTTACATGGTTTCAAGACGAGCATCTGGGGATGATAAAAAAATTATCCCCTCAAGGTCATCTTGAAGGTCATTCTAAGGTCGTCGACTTTTTGTGGCATATTAATAATTTATTAAAATTGAACCTATGAAATTATCACCTTAAAGTGATCTTAAACAATAAACAAAAAATGTCGATAACCATGGGAATGACCTTCAAGGTGATTTTGGAAGGACATTTTTTAATCCATCGTCAGATTCGTGTTCTCAAACCGTATGTGAAACTTCTCTCAGTAATTTTTTCCTACATTCGATAACGAATTAGTCGTTCATTATAAATGAGACACTCTGTACCGTTTTTCTTCCTGATCGAACATGCATGACCAGTAGTAATCGAGGATAATTGAGAAAGCAGGCCTGGAAATAGCACCCCGCGTGAATTCTCGCCATTTTGTCTTCATCAATTTTTCCCGGCAAAAAGTTCGCAACGGTAAAAACTAAGTGAAACCAGCGGTATTTTCTAATGTCGTAAAACAAACTTCCCTTTAACGTCATTAAAAGCGATGCGTCTCGCGAGAGTCGTAAAGGTGCGTTCAGCGCACCACAGGTCTATACTCTTGCTACTATTTATCGCTGTACAGTGTTCATCTCTCTCTAATCTTTACTTTATTCCTATTCAATAAGCTACTCTTTTGTTCAGCTCTATTTTACAGTCACTTATTCCTACGTTTTAAAAATTTCCAAAAAAATTCCAAGAACATAATCTTCTAATATTAACAATGACAATATACTTCGAAGCATTCAGACTACACCCATTCTATTTCAAACCCGTAAACTATGCCAGATCTCTATAACAGAACAACGCTTCCTTATCGTTTCTAGGATCGTGCGTAATCAGAGCGTCCCAATTACTCAACTGCAATGGAAATCATTAGGCGACATGTTGGTCAACCATTTTCCCTTCATTTCGTCGGGAGATTGACAACTGGCCGCCATTTCAGACGGCTTGCTTTGTAGCCTCTGTACCAGCCACATAAGGTTGCAATCGCAGACCAGAGCGTTGCTGTCCAAACGAAGTCGCGTCATTGGTCCCACGTTATGAAACGCGTCCGCTGGAAGATGATGCAGCATGTTGTTGTGCAAGAACAGCCTCTCTAATTTTGGTAGATCGTTGAAAGTGCCCTTTCTAATGTCTCTCAGATGATTGTAGTGTAGATACAATTGTTCCAATTTCGGTAGACCAAAGAAAGCTCCAGGTGAAATGTGTTCCAGCCGATTTTTATACAGATAGAGGATCCTCAGATTTGAAGCACCCTCGAAGGTTCTTGGTACAATGTGTCTGATACGATTGTCGTTCAATAAAAGAGTGTGCAACTCGGAGAGACCTTGGAAAGTTCCTGGTCGAAGTCCTACTATGTTGTTGAATCGTAGATCGCTGAAAAATTTGATATGGAAAGTTAAATGATGAATTTAACAGAATACAGGGTAATTAAAAAAAAACATGTTAACAGTAATATGAAGAATTTTCCTTTTTTTTTTCTTTGCTATTAATTGATGAAACGACAAGGAGATGCTCTTTGGATAAAAGAAGGAAGGTCATTGAATGTATGGAGCTCTTCTTCCAATCACACGCACAATGGTTCACAAGAAATATGTAAAATAAAAAAAAAAATACGTTTATTAATAATGTGATATATTGTATTAACATTTTTTTTTAAACACCCTGTATTTTGGTCATAGCACGAAAAACGAAGAAGGAGGTTGAAAGATGGCGAAGAAGAAGTAGGAAGAGCACAGCGGAGGCGTTCGGAATATTCTGACATCACTCTTGTTTCCTCACAGTGTTACCTATATGTATAATATATTTCAAATAAAATTAAACACACTCCAGTTCATTTAACTAAATTTTCTACTCCATATTTTCCCCATGAAACTTCCAAGCAGCTCAACATTCAGTACTTCAAGTAATAATGTTGTTATATAAACTTAGAGCAAAAGGCAACCAAGTCTTCAGGTCCAGAGATTACGCAGAAGGATAGCTATGTGAGCTCGCTTTTATGTTCCTCTCACAATTGAGCAATAACCGCGCTCCATGTATCGATTACGGGCCTAATCAACTCGACAGGAGCTCACGAACTAATCGAAGACTTTTAAATTTCCAAGTAATTTTCCAAAAAAAAATATTCATCGTTTCTAATTATTCGAAAAAAAAAATAGAAATTTTACCGAGCTCACGCGCACCCTGTCGAAGAAGAACGTCATCTGACGAGCCAGGCGTCATTACACCGTTCGAAAAGATCGCCAGAGTCATAAAGCACGAACCTCTTAATTAACGATTTTACTCGACTCGTTGCACATTATTTCCTCCGTCTAAATTGCCGGGCGAGTTCTCGGTTCGACGCGTCGGTATTTTAACCTCTTTATCGCTCCAGCTGATCTTCCAGTGGCTCGTTCTTTCCCGTGCCACGCGGGATATACGAAAATGGAACGATTCCGTGAGTAGAGCAAGCCTCTCGCGACACACCGCCAGATAATAAAAGACTTTTCCGCCAGAAGGCACACGTTTATGTTCCCGTTTCTTATTCTTCCCCGTTCCGTGCACCTATTCATTCGTGTTTCCCCCGATTTCTCGTTTCGCTATTATACACCGTCCACCGGTGTGGAGGAAAAAAAAAGAAAGAAAGAAAAAATGATGAAAAACGGTGATGAAAAAAATGTCAAGAAACGTGAAAGAACGAAAGAGTGAGTCCGATGAATGGCGGGAATCGAGGTATTTTTTCGATATTTAGAGTGTGGATACGATCGAATTAACGATGGTTTACGGAGCATTCGATAGTATCACGATATAATCGCGAGGTAAGTAATGGCGGAGGTATCGAGGAAAAGGATGGAACGGAGAGAAAGATTCCCTTTCACCGATCCCAGAGATCGTATATTTTGACGCAGCAGCAATAATGACACGTGATATTTACATCGAGCCAGCTCGGTAATTTCCCATCGGGTACTTGTCGGTGTCCCCGAGTATTTGCCGCGACTCGTTTAACAGCGAGCCACTTCGTGACATAATCGGCGTTGTTCTACTTGCTGTAATATAATCCATCGAGAATAAATCCGGTTATGTATATTATATATTATTGTGTGAATAAGTTGCAGTGGCAAAATATTGATCTTAGAGAAAATAATCGTATTGCTCGTTAATAGGTTGTTACCAGGTACAAAATTTACAGCGGTAAAACATCGATCGTAGTAAAATAATCGTATTGGTTCGTTAATAGGTTATGTTACCGGAACTATGTACTTGTAATAATATTTTCTACAGACACTCCTGGGAGAATCATAAATATCCATCCTGTTTTCTATCGTAACATTTTACGACGAAGAAGACTACAACGAGGGACAATCTTTTTTGTGTAATATTTATACTTTTTTAATTTTTTTCTTTTTCTTTTTGACGATACATTTCTTGCTTTTCTCCTTAATGTTACCGTACTGCTGATTTCAGAGAAGAGTTAGATTTTATAGTACATGTTAATGTGAAATATCGATCGAGATGATCGATAAAAAAAGAAAAGAAAGGAAGACCTGTATCAAATTGCGTGTGTCTAACATATACACGATCGCTATCAAGGAAAAAAAAGAGGCCAGTAAAAATGGTAATGTGCGGGAAATAAATTTACTTTCACCCGCTGCCCGTGGCGCTTTGCTATTTTACGTCTCGATTGACATGAATATTAATGGTATACCGTTATTTATCCGAGCTGGTCGTTATAATTTTCTTCACGCTGATTCGACAGCAATGCAATCAGAAAAGATTAAAAATTGTCACTATTAATATTAACGGGCCGGCGGCTTCGTGAAATTTACGACAGCCTGTACTCTCGTACATTAGCAAATAATGAAAAAGTGTATTTTTAGAATCAGCACGATAATGTTCGTGTTTCTTCGGTTTATTCGGCAAATTCTGGGACCCGAGTGACGTCATAGCTGGTGTTCAGGTCGCGTGATTCACGGGTATCCTTACATGGAGTTACAACATTTCGCGGTTTTTCTGTCCAGTTCTTTTTGCACTTCCTATATTCCTGCACTAATTTTCTTTCTTTTTTTTTCAAGAGATAAAACTTGGAAACAAAACATTTTGAATTTATGAAAAAATAATTTTCTGTACTTTACTTTTCACCTTTATTGGAAATTGAACATTCTGGATTAATGGAAAAATAGCACTTTCCGCTTTACTTTACTTTCTTTTTCCAGCAGAAAGTTCTGAAATTTAATAAAAAATTGTAACACATAGAATAGTTTTATATATTAATAATTATCAATGAAACAAATTTCTAGAACACTAAAATAAAAATACTTATTATTTTCTTGGGAGAAATTATGCACATAGAAAAATATCAATATTGAGCGTGATGTCTTACAATCTGTTCGTCAATATTTCAATTGCAAAAGATATGAATTTGCGAACGTCCTTACTTATACAACATCCGGTACAATTTTTCCAATGTATGCTCTTCGCTTAATTGTTTAGAGATCGGTCGTTGCATGCTAGAGAAATTTTTTTTTTTATCTCGATGGAATATCGGCAATCTAACAAAGGTATATTTATTCAATGAAGCCAGGCCAACCCCACTTAAGGATACTCGATATTCAGGTCAATATCCATAATAGGTGCACCCTCGCTGATCGATCCATGGACCGTTCATTTCATCATTTTAAAAGATTCTCGATCCCCGAAATTACGCGGACACCCGGTGCTTGCTGCTGCACCTAATGAAATACTTTCTGAACATTCAACAACGTCCATGTTATTCTTTGTTAGAAATTGTTGCACGAAATTATGCCCTAGGGACTAGTGTAACGAGAGGAATTTATGCCAACGTAATTTTACTTCGATTATTTTATCTTATTTTTATGCTTATTTTTTCATGCGTTCAATGTATCGTTCCTGTAAGGTATTTATCATTATATTAAATTCTAGGGAAGTTCAGTTTAATCAGATACCGGATATCCTTTCTAAAGTTTCACTTTAATTAAAAAGTTCTGTTTTGCATCATCAATCTCGTAGAAATTTCACACCGTTCAAAGTTCTGCTTCATCTACTATTATCTTGTTTAAAATTATTAAAGTATTCGCGTTTGTATAGAATCAATTTACTAAATTAAAGTAAACATCGCGTGTGTCCAAACGTATACTTGACTCTCTTTTATTTTAAAAATATTACTTTCAACGTAAAAAAAATTTGATAACGTTAGGATATTTAATAGCGGTAAGTGGCGCTGATGCGCGGTATCTTTTTCTTTAACTATTTTTCGAATGTTTCGCTCACGTGGTTTTTGAATGTTGCGATACAATTTGTATGATAATGAATCAGTCTCTCAGAAGTAAAATGTACATTTAATAAGAAAATAATGCGTAATTATCAAAATATAATTATTTAAATATAAACGATACCAATTACAAATCAAATTAAACGAACTATTTCCTTCATCTTGAGGGCTCCCTACACCACTCTGTATGCGCTTGCATCTCCATAATATCCCCCCCTCCCGCTCTCCAACTGAACGCCTCCGCCCGACGAAAGAATGGAAAAATATTTACGGTGTTCACAATGCCTTCATTATATTACACGAACCTCCGGCTAGACTCGAATTAATCGTTCCGAAATAACGAGCAAGCCTCCTCTTCATTGTCTTCACAAGGGTGCTCGAACTTAACGAGATCATTTTATCCAGATCTGGGAACGAGGTAACCATCGAGAGGTATTCATCCCGTATCGGCTATCAATCGAAGCGAAGATTCGATATTCTCTCCCTCTCTCTCAAATGAAAACACTCAGAGATCCAGTAACGAACAGTAATTTTATTACACTACAGGGTGCCTCACAAAAAATGCTAACGTTCATATGTAGGGAACTTGTACATGTATAAGTTTTCTTTTCTTTTAAGAGGTCGTTGCATATTGTATCACCAGTACTGTTTCTCTAAAAAAAAAACTATTTCCATATAACATATTTTTGCAATACGTTGTATTTGGAAACGGGTTTTCAATTTTATCCGCCTGATGGGAATTCACCCAGACGATCTGACTTGCCGATTTTTACGAACGGCCGTCGAGCACCCTCTGTACGTGTCGGTTATAAACATCGGAATGTCGTAAAAAACTAGAAGGGTGAGGGAATTCGCGTGAAAATAGAGTCGACTAGAGAAACTCGAAGGTTAGTTTACACGACAGCGTAAGAAGGAACGATTTAATGATGTCTGACGATTCTCTTTCGTCTATATTGCTTAATGTAAACGATTTATCGTATACCGAAGACGAAATTGAACGAGATTTATTGCACGGGTGGAATAAACAGACGCAGTGTCGTTTTGGTTGAAGGAAAATCGATCATGTCAGAGTGGACGCAGAGGAAGAGAGAGATAGAGAGAAGTCTCTTTCGATTCGAGAGATGTTTGCTTCGCGCGTTTCCCGTGACACTCGTCGACAGAGGCGATTAATTATCGCGATTTAGCGGACAAGTGTACGGGATTAGATTTTTACGCAATAGTCGTTTGTACTGGACGGAAGAAGAGACGACGAAGAAGACATGGCACAGAAGCGCTATGTCATTTGGGACACTCGTTGCAGTCGTGTCCGTTGGCCATTTTTTTTTATGCTAATCTTTTTTATATTTTTTAAGTTTATTAAGTTAAGCTTACTGTACTTCAAAATGGCAGTTATTCACTGAAGCAAGGTAATGGAAATCTTCTTGTGTAATCAAACTATCTTTTTTTTTTAATTTATGATATTTTTTCAGTAAAATAATTCTTCTTTTACGGAAGACAAATTCAACTTTTGCAGAATTACGTCATCGACAGATGATTCTACTTCAACTTATGTATTCACAGACGATAAGAAGCATATAAATTGTTTCACGATATTCTATTACGCATAAGGTTACGGGAATTAACCGAGACGGTTCAATTATTACCGATTTCTTTTAATTACGTTTCTTTGCGGATACGAATATTATAGCGCACACTCGTTTCTGAGTCATCTCCCCGATGCACTTTATCATTGTTCCTCTAAACAAGATTCAATTGTCGTCAAACCGTCAATATTCTCGCAATTAACGTTTGACTTTATGATTTGCCGTTTTACCGCGTTTCAAAATTACATGCGACATATTTAATTTCAAGAATAATTGAAATCTATTTCCTCCCTAATGTACCTTAATTTTTAAGGTTTCTTTGTATTATCAGAATGTATGAAATAATTTCGCAATAAATTCATACTTGCAATAATATTTTTATAATTTCTTTATATTTATATTTTCGTATTTATTATTTAGTATTCCATATTTTCTACACTAACGATTCGTCCTTGTTGGACATTATATTTTTACAAGCACGTTCTCTCAATAAGAAACAAGTATTGTACTTAGTCAGAATCGAAGACAAATATTTAAACGAAGTCCTTAACCCGAAAGGGGGTGACAGAAGCGATAAAATGTCGCAACGTGTGAACATTATCTGTAGATACGTTCTTATCATTTTTTCACCCGCTTAACTAGTACGTGCCCGCTTTTCCACGGACAAGGCAAAAATCGAACATCTTCGCCGTTGCGAAGAGAAAGGATGGAGAAACGCTGTATACATATTCGGTGTACAAGCGTGTTCATTTCGGAATATAAGTATGTACGTATGATGTCATGTTCCGAAATGCTGATAAGAACGAGACCGTACTCATTGTGAAATCTGCTGAAAATATCAATGTGAAATATATAAGGCAAACAAAAAATTACAAAACAACCATTTTTTAATACATAACTACGTCATTGATCTTTACAGAAATATTTATCAGGATCTGAATTCGAAATTTTGAAGAATTCAGTGCATAATGTGCAAATCAATTAATTTGAATTCTTGACGTCGTTTGTAAAAGGTCACAATTTGCATGAAAGAAATATCAAATAAATTAGAAAAATTATTTTATCTATTTAACAGAATCATAATTCGTTCGAAACTCAACGATAAATCGTTGGAAATAAAAAATTAATTCGTCACGTGCGGCCCATCCAGCGAAGAGGACGCACACGTGCATCCGAGAATTCGCGTTTCACAGGATCCACCTTTGTTCCTCTCCTCAAACCTTCATTTACGTCCAGCTGCTTATATATAGTTTAAGCTGCACGGTCATGCCTATTTTAAATGTATTCGAAAACACGTAGCTCGGCTGCACAGAAAAGCATGGAGATATCGATGTGTAAATACATACGATTGACTAGTCTCGTACGACTTCTCACAGGATAATTTTACTTAGAAAATCGGCAAAACCAAACGGAATCTAACGTATTATGTGAAGTGAAGAAAATGAAAGTTTTTAGAAAGCTTGCTTGGTGTTTCATAAAAAAATTGATCACGTGTGCAGTCGAGAAGAGATCATAGTGGTTCAAGAGATCATTTAAGTGTGTGAACAGAGAGTACAAGGTCATTAGGCAGTACAATTTCCGAGAATGTAATTCGATCCGGTGTATCTTTTCGTTTTACTGGTTCTCGGGATGCTGGAAATTGAAGAGTAAACAAACTTTGCCCGACGACTTAAAAGATCCCCTGTTTTAACTTATAATTCCGTTGGAAATATTACACGGCTGCTTGGGTTAATTGGATGATCGCGTGTTCCAGTAATATTATCGAGTATATTTCATAATTTCCTTCAATTACTTCGACAGGCATGTATCTTCGATCAAAAGCTATTGCTCCCATGCGACGGAGGAGGTCTAACATCATAGAGACTCACGAAGTTTCAATTGACCTGACGCTTCGCGACTTTTTTTAATAATCGCCCCGGAGTTAATTATCCGGCTACTTGTGTAGTTCGCGACGGAAGAAAATCATTCAAGTGCCCAGCGTGCTTGTCGCTTGGCACAGTACAACATTCTGTACAAAATCTTTCAAATTAATATTCAGTTTATTTCCGTAGAAATACTATTGAATATTATTCAAACAAAAATTTGATAAATTCATTTGTTTTTAAATCCCACATTTTCCTAAACCTTCTAATGTATTAAAATTAAAATTCAACCGACTGAATTATAGAAATCGAAGAAAACGAGATATACCATATTTGCGCGTCACCGCGAGCGGCCAATATAATTCCACGCTTCCCACGTGTACTCGAACTAGAAATACCTGCAGCCTACGCCATGAATATTTCCCTATTGCCCCGATCCCAGTTTCTCCGTGAACCGCGAATTGCCCAGGGACACACGGTTCATCGATTCGATGCCATGAATCGTGGCCTAACCGTCGGCCCCCGGGGACTAAGGATACGCCGTGAAGGAGACCAGAGAGAAAGAGAGAAAGAGAGAGAGAGAGAGAAGAAAGGAGGAGAGTAGAAGAAACAGCCACTTACAAGATCGTCGTGTTGGTTGGTACCCGTGGTACGTGGCTCAGCTTCTGAAACATGCATCTCACGGTGGTCCCGAAGCACATGCACTTGTGAGGACATTCCACGTTCCTGCTGTTTTGCCACTGGTCTGCATAGGATGGCCGCAGGATCAATAGGAGGCAACAAACGACGATGCCAAACATAAGCCTCATCTTGTGGTGTTTGTAATTGATTCCTTCACATCGAAACTATTCTCGCACTGTTTCACGCTAGCACGTGTTGCTGGTCATCGAGATAAACGTGTCTTCCGTCTGACAGCCCCAGCCTTTGGACACGCGGTACTTTCACTTCCACTCCAGAGATCTCCACGAACCGTTCCTGTAACCGTTCGAGCTGGATCTCGGTGTCCTGAAGCCAGGATCCGGGGAATCCTGTCTGCCGCGACACGTCTATACGGGGTGGCGGATAATTTATCCGCGACTTTGACAGCGATCTTGTGAAAAGTTGTCGAGTGTATATAGTAGAAATGATTTAGAAATTTTATTTAAGGTTTGAGTGTTATTAAATGTGTTCGTAAGTGATACTTTCGAATTTGAAAAGTGTCACAACGTTATTAGTAGTATATTCGTATCTCTAGTGTAAAGTTTCGGCGAAATACTATTAGAATTATTTTTAGACACGGGATGCGTTGTCAAAGTTTGACCGGGAAACAGTCCGCCACCCCGTATACGGTATATCCGGTTTAAGTGTATCTGTACGTATACTCATCGTAATCTTATTATCCAGACTATTAGCATAATCCTACAAAAAATCAAACTGAACGTCGTCTTAACTCGTTTCACAAATCTCTATATATCTCAAACACCAAAACGAGCAACAAATCTATTTGACTATATATTCTTTCTAACCTAACTTTCTCAAATAATCTCGTCTAATCGTTCCAACCACCTGATACATTAAACCAGACATAGTGTGTACCCAAAACTGCAAAACAATCTACTCTGAACTAATTCTTCAACGTGAAAGATCAACTTCTTCTTCTTCTTCTTCAACGTGAAAGATCAACTTCTTCTTCTTCTTCTTCTTCTTCAACGTCAATATTCAAACAATCGAGCACTCTCTCCACAGAAACTTCACTGCTTAAACTTCTGAAGTTTGAGGAAGCTTGGCCGTATCTGTGTGCACGGACGGCAAGATACCTTAGGCCCACTGGACGGCCGTCGAATATCGTCTGCGAGTGTCGGTGGACGAAGCAACGGCGGCGACAGAAGAAGAAAGAAGCGCAGAGGGACGCCGCCGCTGCGTTCTCGTCTCGTCGCGGCGGTTTGGCTACTACTGGAGCTGCTCCGCGCCGCTCCGCGCGCCTGGCAAGCGTGCGCGAGCTTTTCCTCGCGGGTGTCTCTCCCCTTCCCCTTCGTTCCGTTTCGTATACCATCCTCTTTCTTCTCTTTTGTTTCCTTCTTACACGCTTGTAATTTATTTACCTGTACACGTGGACGCACTCGTTGTTTACGACGGTCAAATCGACAAATGGGCAAAAAAAAGCGCGAAACAGCTTCGAAGTACGCAACGATTGGACGCGTAAAATTTTGAAGAGGTGACCTTCGTTTTCGTTTTATAGAGGGCAGGGCAGGTATTCTTTACGAACGGGTCAGTGCTAGGTTACGTGTGTGGAAGTGTCTTGAGGTTCCTTGGAACGTTTTGTTTAATGAGTTTGAGTGGAAGTATACATGTGCTTGGTTGTTGAATGAGTTGAAGATAGATCTCACTGTGGATAGACATTTCTTTATTGTGTAAAAACTGCAGAAAAATGTTCTGACAAACTTGATTATTTATTCGTACATTTGATATATCGATGAATAATGACCGTTCAAAGAAAAGTAGTAGGAATTGATGAAAAAAGGGAAAGGAAAATCATCTGTTACCCAGTAATATTTGTTTAAATGCACGCACAAAGAGAGAAGTACTGTAGTGCGCATATAGAACGAGAGTTTTAAGTGATTGCTTTTTAACTTGCTCCAATGGAAGTTTCTGTTCGCGCGTGCAATTTCAAGGAAACAGGCGCTGTATAATTGGCCGCTTTGTATCTGTCCACTTTAGCATTTTTCTGCACGGTGCTCTATGGGACACTGTGTTCGCGCGTAGCAATGCTGTTGTAGTAGCGACTCCCTCACACTCCGCCGTTCCCCTGAGCTAAGCTAACTGACGCAGTTGCTGGTTTTGTGCTTCTCCGTCTAAATCGCGCGCTACCGCCGGTTAAGCTCTGGAAGCCTCAGAAATTTTGACGCTGAGGGATTGTACTTGTTACTGGGAAATCCCCCTGTGTTCTCCTGGAAACACAAGTTTCTGCTTAGATGAAGAATACAAAAAAAAACAGTATTTGACGATAAGAAGCAGATTTTCCAAGTTTTTGACAGTTATTCTTCATTTACAAATTCGATTTTTTGATTTATTCTCAATATTGTATCATTCATCCACTTGTTCTTGTTCCTTGGAAATTACAATGATTTCTTGGACAACCGATCAGTCCACCAACAGACGGTTCTCTTTTACCATGCACACTCAGCAAAGAAGGATCTCCAATATCACTTTTCATTGAACAACGAAAAATTGAACGAACAAACTACTCGGAAAGAACCAGCTGTTCAAGATTAACTAACTAATAAAATATTCAGTTCCCTGAATTTAGCAAGCAGACCTAGACCTTGCAATTAAGATTACAGGATCGAGTGAACCGACTTATCTCCGGCCTGAAGTAAGCTGCACGAACTGTATTTTACGCTGGACACGAACGCGATATTCGGCGTAATGCGATATTTATCGACAGCGTTCGCGCTCGCGCGCGCATTCCCCATTAACATTCCGTATGAAATCCGTAGGCAGATAAGTGGAATGCCCGGTATAGAGGCGCGTTTGCATACACGCCGTATCTAGATGCTGCATGCATCTGCGCCCGTAGGACGTGCATGCATGCGAGTTCAACGAGCGCCGGAGCCAGGCGCCAAACGACGATCCTAGTAAACAGCTAGCCAACTGATCCGCGAATCGAGCCTGCTGCTCCCTCTTCCACTCTCTCTCTCTTTCTCTTTAGCGCTGACACACTGTTATACCGCGATGGATACGTGATTGGACATAATCAAGCACCGTGTTCACAAGCCCATCCCTGGCCGATATCGTAATGAACGGACAGCAACGTCGAGTCGTGCAAACAGCGATCTTGCGCGTGTCGAATTGACGATCATCGATTGATAAATAGCTTGGTGTCTGGTGAGGTGTGGACAGAGGAAAATCGCTAATCGGTGTCTTCGATGTGTTGAAAGTTGAACAGGATGTAGATTGACTTTTTATGATTGAAAATGAACAGGTAGGCAAAAGAATTAGGTTAGGTTAAGTATTGAAAAGTGTTTTGGGAGAAAGTAGGGTAGAGCGTATAACTTAGGTTAGATCAACTTTGTTTATAAACAATGTAAAATTGATATAGAACTGTTTCATCTCGTTGGACTTGTTAATTTCAGGGTGACATAAATTTCCTCGTGCAGGATTAGATCAACAATGTATGTAATTAAAAATTTCGAAGTACCAACATATTGTATGTTAATAAGAAATATCGTTTGTCGCGAACAAACACGATTTTCAATATCATCTCCTATCGATCATTCTGATTCTGACACATCTAACTGATCACTGTTACCTTCTTCTTCCGTCCCGCGTCACGAGCATCGTGTGCTTCGAACAAATAAATCCGTCTTCCACTCTATTTGCCCCCGTATCATTCCTATTTCCAATGCTCGATCCGGACGGTCCGGTAGCGATCGCCCGGACAACGTGTTTATCTAGGTTCGAGGCAAGCGTTCTCCTTTGGGGTTAGAAACGACGCCATTGAAACCTGTCGTAAAAATATTTCATAGATGCCTGCTTCTATTCATGGAACTGACAGGTAGTGGAGGGGAGAGGAAAAAATGGGGCCATTACCTTCTTGACCTGTTATCGACATTGTCACGGAACAGCTGTGCATTTGTGTGGTAAAGGAGATGGTCGGGGAGGGGGTGGACAATGCAGGTGCACTGGAACAGAGAACAAAAGAATACTCAGCGAAAGAGAAAGTATTTAACATACTGGGTCACTGGTTGCTAAACGCATCTACGATTAGAACGCGGATGCTTGTTTATTTGAGACTAGGTTAGGGATAGAATGGAATAAGAGAAAAGAAAATAAAACACTTCGTTAAGCTGGTGCTGATATAACGAAGAATTGATTTCTATTGTTATTGTCGGTTAAGTGGAGTGTAAATAGTTATCAGTTTGTATAATGGAAAATAATTATAGGTTGTGATAAAAATGAAGGATACGCGGTATCTTTGTGTCTCTCTACACACAAAGTGCTTACTGAACTCGTTACAACAATCAAGGGGAAAGGAATTTTTCTTGTTTTTAGGGCAACGATAAATTAAACACGCGATGTTATCATGATAATAAACCTCTCTCGTGCCTCGTTGTAAAACGTTCGTTTGATTATCGAAAGCCAGACCTGTTTTTTTTTGTTTTTGCTGGAAGTCATTCCAATAATCTCTTAATTTACTGCATCCTAGTTAGCATTCGTGCGATTTGCAATAAACGGAGGGAGAGGCCGGGTTACATAAATTGGTCCCGCGATATCGGGTATTCCGAGATCTGACAACGTTATCTTATCGAATGAAAATACAAATTTGTACATGGGAAAGAATCGTCACGGTGGAAACGATAAAGCTAATCGAGAAAGTGGTATACACACGGAGAAGTGAAAGAGGTACCATAATGCGCGCGATTCGTTCTCCTCGATACCGGAGAAGAAGAACGCACGATTCTGTAATTGCTGCGTTACCACACCGTAGAGATAACACGCATGGGATATATATATATATATAGAGAGAGAGAGAGAGAGAGAGACAGAGAAAGGCCCTCATGAGATTTTCATCGATTCCACGGTCCGTTGCGAAACCTCTAATCGCGAGAAACCGCCATAGATTGGCTCCGCGTTAATGGAAGAAGGATCGAGCCTTGATACCTAAAAAAGAAACGAGAAAAATTAGCAAAATTCTTTAAAATACAATTTCAAATTTTCTCTCTTTTAATCGTGCGCCAGGATCACCGCTAACGCAATTAGCTTAATTTCCCGGTTAGTTAGAAACAGTGTATCCGCGTTAGCCCGTCGAGCTTAGCCTGGTAACGTGAGATTACATCTACTTTACGCAACGGGACGGGGAATTGGCGCGCGATCGTTTAGGAAAAGCTCGCGTTGAACGTCATTCGTGGTGTAGAAGAAGAAGAAGGCAGGCTCTTCTCGTGACATCTTAATTCCGTGAAATTAAGGCTCTCGCGTTGGACGCAACACAAAAGAGAGATGACCGTCTCAGATTAAGGTTTATGCGCGTCTGACTTCCCGCAGAGAAGCAGAAGAAAATTCATTGACCTTATTTACTGGAATGGCAGCCACTTCTTCGCGCGATCAAAGGATCAGGCGACTGATAGCGTTGGTTGGTATCTGTTACGAGCGAAAACCACGGCGCCAAACGTTTATTGGATTATCAAGGATGGTTGGACGGTTTTAGAGGTCGATTCGCTCGAAACAATTTCGCGAATCGTCTTAAACGTGTAGAGGTAAATAGACGATTCGAACGATTAATTTTCATCAACACCGATACACGAGGCTTGATGGGTTGTCGTTTATGGTCATTATATCACACGGGTTCTAACGATGATTAATACCGGCAACATGAACGATAGCAGCTGGTATCTGATCTATACGTCTTTTTAATGGATCCCGACGAAATCGTCACAGTGGACCCGGATAAGTATTCCACACTGGCTAGTAGTGTTGTCGCATTAATATCAATTTTTTCAATGCTCCTGCCAGATAGTCGTGGTACCGTATCATTGATTCCCGGCCTTCTATCCGCTGACACTCTCCGCTGTGAGATCAATCCGATTACACCAATAATTGGAATAGCCTCCTCTCCACGGGGCGTCCTTGTAAATCAACGGCTCCCACGCTGGGCGGCCGACGGCGGCGTCTGGAAATCGAGGGAGAAGTAAAAGAAGCTTTTCAAAAAGATACGAGGATGTACCAGTCTTTTTAACTAAATAAAAATTAGTAACTGACAAAATTACAGACTTGGTGTCTTCTTTCCATTTGTAAAAAA